ACTTATTATTATAATAAGTACTAGTTAACTAAAGTAGTTACTACGTTATGTTACGTATACGTAGTTAGTTATTAGTACTATATATATATATATATATATATATATATATATATATATGTGTATATATATATATATATATGTTCATTCTTGGTAAGTGATTGTAACATAGATTGACGTGTCGGCGTATTGCATTGATGATGAATTTGTGAATTTAATGTTTTCAGTGGTATAATGGCTTTCTTTTGTTAATTGCATCATTTTATAAAGAATCCTTGTGTATTTGCTTTCGTTTCAATACTTATACGTGTTTGTATATGTTCATCATGTAACTTCCAGTAGGTTAACACGTGGCAGAAAATGGAGAACGGCGATGGTTGAGATATTGTGAGTGGAAACGAGTATACTATCTGTCTGGTTAAATTTCGAGAGGGAAAATTATCTAAGGTTTACCGAGCACGTTCGATTTTAAATTCAAATGGCAGTATGTTAGCCAATAACCACGTAACGTATTACCGAAAACATGTATAGATTTGTCGTTGCTTTTCACTGCCTGTTGTATTTCAAAATCTACCGAGCACGGTCGTTCCAAGTGTGCTGTACTTGTGCGTTGCGCATTTCCCGCATGGTATCTGCTAGTGCGAGGAATTGTGCCACTGCATGCCACATTCTATTATTCATACAGATAATTGCCGATCATTCCACACGTGGACGATGGCGCAGCAAGTTCCACAGCGTGTGCGCATGCAAAATCCCTCGATCTGCGTCATGTGGAAAATATCACACGTGTTTGATATTTTATTCCACGTGTGGAAGATTGAACAGCGTATGCGAGTGACTGTGTAAATTTCCACACTCAATTCGCATTGTTCGCTTGGATGCATTGTATTTTTTTCTCAGCTCGCATAGAGGCATGTCCAAGAACTGATCGATCAAACGTCGTGTGAACGCTCTCTTCAACGACGCTCCGTGTCCAAGCGAACAATCAAGAACAATGCGAATTGAGTGTGGAAATTTACACAGCCATTCCTTCGCACACGCTGTTCAATCTTCCACACGTGGAAGAAAATATCAAACACGTGTGATATTTTCCACACGACGCAGATCGAGGGATTTTGCATCCGCACACGCTGTGGAACTCGCTGTGCCATCGTCTACGTGTGGACGATGGCGCAGCAAATTCCACGGAGTGTGCGGGGGGCTTTAGCGGCCCATAAACGTGCTCTAGTATCACACAAAATACGTGACGACTGAATTCAAGTTGATCAAGTATTGGTGCGCCTTTCTTTTCATGGTGCATTCAATCATTCTCAACCCCACTGTCTTTCTCTCTCTCTCTCTATCCATATATATATATATATATATATATATAATATATATATATATATATATATATATATATATAATCAAGAGTGCATAATAGAGAAGAGTATGACACGGTTTTAACAGCGTTTTGCATAGTTTTCAAACTGGTAAATAATCTATCAATATGTGAATAAATATATTCAAACTTTACCTTGTTTTCGTCTATGATTCTCCCTTAATCATATGACACCACCAATTTACCTGAAAATCGTATGTGTTCTTCAAAAAAGTTATTTGAAATACGACACGGTTTCGTACAGTTTTCACGCATGAATGCATCTCTCCGACCGAACTTTCTTATGGGATTAGTGTTCTATGTCTATGACGGAACTTTGGGGTCGTATGGGATATTAGGCATCGAATTGTATTCAGCGTGCAGCGTTTCCAGGTGCTAGAATACATAAAATAAATGCGCCTCACGGCCAGCTAGCTAGCAGCTGATTCCCTTACGGCCCCCAGCGTACCGTCATAGACAATAGAACACTAATCCCATATCAAAGTTTGGTCTAAAACATGCATCCATGCGTGAAAACTGTGCGAAACCGTGTCGTATTCAAATAACTTTTTTGAAGAACACATACGATTTTCAGGTAAATTGGTGGTGTCATATGATTAAGGGAGAATCATAGACGAAATTTTTATTCACATATTGATAGATTATTTACCAGTTGAAAACTATGCAAAACGCTGTTAAAACCGTGTCATACTCTTCTCTATTATGCACTCTTGATATATATATATATATATATACAATACATAATCTATTATCCAAAACCCATGGGACCAGACACGTTTCGGAATTAGTGTTTTTTTAGGATTTCGGAATGATAGTACATTACAGATATACATACCGTATATCCTGCAACTAGCCAGTACTAAAACCCAAGTTTTCAAGCAGCCAATTTCTGTACTGGTACAATACAATATTGGTAATGCCAAAAACATTAACATTTCTGCAGTGAACCTTGTGCAGCCAAACGCGAGCTTTGATGTGCAGACTACCTCCATGAAAAAAACTGTTTGTTTTCGGAGCTTTTCGGTTTTCAGAATTTCGGATAATAGATTGTGTACCGTATTGTATGGGGGCAGCCCTATAGACCGAAGGTCCCAAGACCGAATATTGCAAAGGGTTAGGGTTAGAGTTAGGGTTAGGGTTAAGGTTAGGGTTAGGGTTAGGGTTAGGGCATATATATGGTTTATAGTGGCATCGGTGGATGTTCGGCATATTCACGTTCGAATACGGCATCAGTGGATGTCCGGATGCGTAGCCTGGAGGCTAGGCGACCGATTCCGGACGTGTAACCACTGCGTATTCGAATCAACCTTCGGTCTATCGGGCCTTCGGTCTATAGGACTGTAACCGTATTGTATATGGTTCTCAACTATGTGTGATTGGCGACAGCATCGCGTAGCCATGCTTTCAGTATACTGTGTG